ATAAGCCCAAACAGCCTTTAAATTAAAAAATGTAATTTTAAAAAATCAGTAATTATTCTTTTGTGCTCTTTTAAAATACACAAAAAAATTAAATTAGGAAACACTTATATAGCAAAGGGCCATTTTAAAAAACCAAAAGCATGGTCAGCAAGTGGTGTGGAGGGTAAGGCACTGGATCATACCTGACTGGCTATGCAGTTCAAGTCCCAGACCTGGCTTGAAACACATTGAGTACATGTGCATGCGTGTCCAAAACCCCGAGAATAGAGGAAAAGGGATTGTGGTGTGGCCATCCCCACTTCAGGGAGGGAGTGATTTCTCTCTTTCTCTCTCTCTCTGTCTCTCTCTGGCTAGCACATATGCCCTATAGAAAAAAAAAAAGCAAAAAAACAGCAGAATGATGGGCTTTTAATTTCTTCTTTCTTTCTTTCTTTCTTTCTTTCTTTCTTTCTTTCTTCCTTCCTTCCTTCCTTCCTTCCTTCCTTCCTTCCTTCCTTCTTTCCTTTCTTTCTTTCTTTCTTTCTTTCTTTCTTTCTTTCTTTCTTTCTTTCTTTCTTTCTTTCTTTCTTATTTTAAATTTGCCATAGAATGCAAGTACTCTCCAGAGAGAAAGGGAAAAAAAAGTGAGAAAGCACCTTCCATGGGGGATAGTCACACAACAGTCTCCTCTCCTCCATGTCTCTCTCTTTTGATAATTTTGGGCACATAAGCCCATGTGCCCAGTGTGTTTCTCAAACCTCCAGGTCTGGGACTTGGACTGCATAGTCAGCCATGTGGGATCCAGCCACTTTAACCAGTATATCACCATCTGGCCTTAAAAATCTTTGTTCAAACCAATAGTAAATTCTAAAAAGAAATTTTTTAATAATTATTTTATTTAACTTTATTTATTTATCTTAATTTGACCAGAGAGGGATAGAGTGAGAGTGAGTGAGTGAGAGAGAGAGAGAGAAAGCTACCAGATCCAGGACTCAAACCATGGTCTGCCATGTGGGAGTCCAGCGCCCTTAACCACTATGTCACCTGCCAGCCCCAAATGTAAAAATTTTAATGAAACTGGGACCAGCAGATGGGGTAAGGTCTGCAGCGCGACCACAGTTCCAGTCCCAGATCCGGTGGCTTAAACTCACGCTGGGCACATGTGCATGCATGCCCAAGATCCCGAGAGGAGAATGGAAGAGAAAGAATTGCGGTGTGGCCATCCCTCCTGGGGGGTGATTTCTCACTTTCTGTCTCTCTCTCTCTCTGTCTTTCTGGCAAGCACACATGCCCTATAGCAAAAACCTCTCCAAAAGTTTTTAAAATGAAACTAAAAAATAGATCTCTTCATCAGAACATATGAATTTGATAAAAGTAGGTCAGCAACAGAGAGGGCTATGAAATTGCCCTACTGCTAAGAAGTCTTTTTCAAGGAACCACAATTAAATCACTACTCAGGGCTGGCGCTGTAGTGCAGCGCTAAAGTGCCATGCAGAAGTACTCAGATTCCACGTAGTCAGCCAGGGTTCAAGTCCTGTCCTGGAGGCTTGAAAAACATGCTGGGTGCATGCACACATTCTGGATCCTACCAGGTGAGAGAACTGGAGGAAAAGGGATGTGGCTTGACCAGGCCCCACTAGAGGTGTTCTTTCTGTCTCTTTCTCTTGTGTGTGTGCAGGAGCCTTTGGCATTAAAAAAAAAATCATTGCTGCCTGAAAATGGACTGCATAACAATCTGAATCTGCCTCCACTCAAGCCTATGTGTTAACAAAACTGTTATAGAACCCAAACCCTTATCAGTCCCAGCATTCTGTAAGTTCAACTAGAAACTTTTTTAAATAGAAAGTATGCCTCATCGGAACTAACTAGTAATGGAGCTACTAGGTACGAAGGGCAACTGTGGTGTGTGAAATGCAATTCTAGAGAAGAAGAATGTTGGGTTAAATTCCCTTCTTCAAGTAAGTTTCCATTGCCGACTTAATTTTATCATCTGTATACAAGAAAATGATTGATCCTTGATATTACATAGGCAGGCTACCAGTGCTGGAACTAGGAGACGATACATGTTTCATGTTTGTTGGCAAGAAAGGGATAGTGCCAGGGTGGCCACCAGTCCTCTTCCTCTAAGCATACAGGAACCAACCATGTGGCGCGTCAGCATGAAGAGTCAGGGTCTGGGTTTAGGGATTTGGCCAAAGTCCACAAAACTATGACCAACAGAGGATTCCCAGAGTATTATTTTTCACTAGTTGTTTTTATTTTTTCTTTCTCTTTGCCTCTTCTTTCTTTCTTTCTTTCTTTCTTTCTTTCTTTCTTTCTTTCTTTCTTTCTTTCTTTTTAGAGAGATTTTTTTGCTATAGGGCGTGTGCGCTCACTGGAGAGACAGACAAAAAGCGAGAAATCACCTCCCCAGGGGATGGCCACTTCATAATCCCTTCTCCTCCATTCTCCTCTTGGAATCTTGGACACACATGCACACGCTCCCTGTGTGAGTTTTCAGCCTCTGGGTCTGGGACTCGAACCACAGTCGACTACATGAGAGTCCAGCAACGTAATCATTACACCATCTAATGGTCCCTCACTAGTTGTTTCTAAAAGAAATCAGATGTGTTATAGTGTTTGGTCACTATGCCCTGACTCACTGCTATACACAGTTAATTAGCAAGTATATCCTGTGGTGTCCTGTGTTGAGTTCTCTAGTCTGGATGCAATGGCTTCTTTATCTGATGATCACTTTGTGTCAGAGTGCTGTATGTTAAATCACTTCTCTTCCAACTGCCTCCTTTCCCATCCTACAAATCAACGCAATGTTGTGCTTATTTTTCATCCTTTAGAATAGTTGTATTATTGATAAACTTCTGATACTACTCCTAGCTAGGTCCCTCAAACCAATACATTGAGAAGCTATAGAAGCTCCTTCATTTACAAAGGGGTTACATCTCTCTAAACCCATTTGTAAGTTGAATGCATTGTTAGTCAGAAACACATTGAATACATCTAACCTACCAAACATCCAGGCTTAGCCTGGCCAACCTTAAAGATGCTCAAAACACTCAAGGTTAGCTTATAGTTGGGCATAATCATTAACACAAAGCCTATTTTAGAATGAAGTGTCAGATAGCTCAAGATTCAAAGTACAGTTTCTACTGAATGCTTATTTGCACCATTGTGAAATACAGCCATCTAGTTAAGTTGGGGACCTCTACATTGTCAACTCAAGTTAATTTATTTATTTTCCTATCAATAGTGGACACTAGCTGACACATATACTAGAAGTTATGCCAGAATTAAATTGATTTGAATTTCACAAATCAAGGTTTATCTCTATTTTGTTTCCAAAATCCACATTTAAAAAATTTTATTTATTCATCCATTTATTTTAATTTAACCAGAGTGAGAGAGAGAGAAAGTGAGAAAGCAAGCCACCAAGTCCAGGACTTGAACCAAGCTCAGCCATGTAGGAGTGTCCAGCACCTTAACCACCATGCCACCTGCTGGTCCCTCCAAAATCCAAGTGTTAATCAAGTTTTATACCACTCTTTGATCAGAGGTATTTGGAATGGAAAGTCAACTCACTGAGCTTAACTTCATAGCTTGATGTTACAGTATGAAATGCAGTGTACGTGAGAAGTGCACATTTATGGATGGGTTTCCTTTATTAATGGCTACTAATAATGGCCTGTAATCAAGGTAAAACCTTTAGCAAATAATTACCAACTTAATTGCTGTACAAATAGGGTAATTCTCAAGTTTCTAATTGTCTTCCCTGCTAAAAATGTCGAAATAAATCATCTTGGGAAGTAGGAAGTACATTTCCTTATATGTAGTATAATTTATATTCATTGCAAGTGCTTTTTCATCATTTATAGACTAACTTCTCCCAGCGTTTAGTATAAAAATGAAGCTATCTCTGCACTCAGCAATTAATAAGAGGTGATTCTTAGATTAGTGGCTTGAGCCTGGCTCTCCCCAGGCTCCTCTTACAAGTCAGGTTTGAAATCTAAGTAACTTCCCTTGTTCTCTCTTCAGGTTCTCAGCTAACAATTCATTTTCAAAGATAGGATCGATCTGTCTTTCTGCTCCCTTCCCCCCTCCCTCCCTTCCTTCTTTCTCGTTTACTTTATTTCATGAGTGAGTGAGAGAGGGACAGAGACAAAGATAGAGGGTATTGGCATCATAATTCACCCCCAGCTTCAGCCAGCCCGGACCATGGGCACGCACTTGAACTGGGAACCTTCCCGGGTCTGCCTTAGAATGTCACGTTTTACCACCGCACCACCGTACGGCCCCCTAGAGGGCTCTTTTAAGTAATTTGCAAGAATCGAGTTTCCTTGATGTCATAGGAATCATTTTCAGTACATATCAAATTTCTAAATCTGCTGGTAAAAGAGATTCCATAAACTTGATTATTGTACCTGCTCTAAGGTGGATTAATAACTATCTTTGTCTTTTGACAATGAACATCTATAGGTGTTCAAAGGAAGTGAGAATAAAACCAGTAACGAAGGGACTTGTATACTTTCCCTGTCCCCCGGGAATGGTTGTGGGTACTGGGACTGGCAGGTTGGTCTAGATGGGCTCATCTTCCCTTCGTCCCCATCTTCCTGTCCTGTCTTCCTAACAGGGTTCTAAGCCCACAGCTGATGGAATCCGTGAATGCCTGTGCAGGCTCTGTCTTTATCCCCATCTCACTGTGGTGTGCCAAGCTTCTGTAATGTTCTCCTAAGCCTGTCTGTCCTACGCTGACCTTGTTTCTGGAAACTCTGAGAACACTATTCACCATCCTGTCAGATAGCACTGCTGCTTCTAGTCCTCTCGGCCTCCCTGCTCCCTGCAGGATTTGGTAAAAGAAAGCATCGACATAATCTTAAGTAGCACATGGAACATTTCTTTGAAAAACTGGCACTGCAGAGATTTAAAGCGCACTGTGGCAGAAAGTGTCGTTTTGTGCATTGGGCAGCCTCATAGCTTCAGTGAATGATTTCAAGTTTTTAATTTTAAGATTTTTTTTTTCTCCCTAGCCCTTGTGGTTGCTGTTCTGCGCTTCATACAACTGAAACCAAAGGTTTTAAACCCATGGCTGAATATTAGCGGATTGGTGGCGCTGTGTCTGGCTTCCTTTGGAATGACCTTACTTGGTAATTTTCAGGTACTTCATTTGGTCTTTTTCACCTCCTTCTCACACGGGTAAGGCGTCATTACCATAGGCACTGGGTAATGCATGGCCCATGCAGTTCTGAATGTACCTTTAAAAAGAATTAGAGGCCTGGGTCACCAAGAGGCACGGGTTCTTCAGCAGTCAACCCTGTGTTCTTTTGGCCTGGACCACCTGAGTTCTTTTTTTTTGGATAGTTTTTTGCTATAGGGCACTCGCCAGAAAGACAGAGAAAGACAGAAAGCAAGAAATCACACACACACACACACACACACACACCCGGTGAATGTCCATGCCACAGTCCCTTCTCCTCCATTCTCCTTTTGGGATCTTGGGCACGCATGCACATGTGCCTGGCGTGAGTTTAAGCCACTGGGTCCGGGACTCGAACCACGGTCAGCTACATGGGAGTTCAGCAACCTTAACAATAACGCAACTGCTGGTCCTGCACATGAGAGAAAGACAGAGAAAGACAGAAAGCAAGAAATCACACACACACACACACACACACACACCCGGTGAATGTCCATGCCACAGTCCCTTCTCCTCCATTCTCCTTTTGGGATCTTGGGCACGCATGCACATGTGCCTGGCGTGCTGTTAAGCCACTGGGTCCGGGACTCGAACCACGGTCAGCTACATGGGAGTTCAGCAACATAGTCATTACACTAACTGCTGGTCCTGCACATGAGTTCTTACACATGTGGGGGTGTCAAGTATACATATGGAATACAGCGTAGCTATAGGGAAAGGAGCTCTGAATGTTTTCTACAAAGGATTTTTCATAACAAATTGGATCCTGATGTACCTTTCTAGAAAACTAGTAAGATCATGGCCATTCTGTAACTTAATACTATGCATTGACTAGATGAAAGCTTGCATTTCAGATGCATAAACTCATGTGGAGGTCAAATTTGAAAGCCCAGACTTTCCCTAGAACATTTATAACTTGTTTAAAGATATACTAACCCTGAGACCAGCAAGTGGTGTGGTGGTTGAGGCTCTGGACTCCCATATGGCTGACCATGTTTCAAGTCCCAGACCCGGCAGCTTGAAACTCACGCTGGGCCTGTGTGTATGTGTAACCAAAATCCCAAGAGGAGAGTAGAAAAGAAGGGATTGTGGCATGGACATCCTCCCTGTGGGATGATTTCTTACTTTCTGTCTCTCTGCCTCTCCAGCCAGTAAATGCACCCTAAAGTAAAAAAAATAAAACCTCAAAAATAAATAAATAAAATATACTAATCCTAACTTTTCCTAGAAATTTAGAAGCTCAAGGTCACAACCTATAAGAGTAATTGTCCTTTCTGACACTACCACCTAACTCTTTTTTAAAATTATTTTTTTTTTAATTTGCTAGAGAGGGACCGGCAGGTGGCATGGTGATTAGGGGCACTGGACTCCCATGTGGCTGACCACAGTTCGAGTCCCGGACCTGGCAGCTTGCTTTCTCACTTTCTCTTGCTTGCTTGCTGTGTCCCTCTCTAGTCAAATTAAAAATAAATGAATAAAATTTAAAAAAATTTTGCTAGAGGGCATGAGTGCTCACCAGAGACAGAGAGAGAGGGAAAACACCTCCCAGGGGGATGATCATACTGCAGTCCCTTCTCCATTCTCCTCTTGGGATTTCAGGCATGCATGCACATGCACCTGGCGAGTTTTTCAAGCCACTAGGTCCGGGACTCGAATGGCACAATCGCCCATATGGGATACAGCTGCCTTAACCACTGTGCCACCAGCTGGGCCAATCATCACCTAACAAGAAGAAGGGTGAAAAGTTTATAGCATCTCTTAGTGAAAGGCCAAGAGCCTTAGGACTAAATACAAGGGTTTATTTGTTGGTTTTGTTTTTTTTTTTTTCAATTTTAATTTGACCAGAGAGGGACAGAGCGAGAGAGACAGGGGGAAAGTGAGAAAGCAAACCACCAGGTCCAGGACTTGAACCACCGTTGGCTATATGGGAGTTCAGCTCCCTTAACTACCATGTCACCTACTGGCCCCTATTATTACTTTTTAACTTACCGAAGGGAGACAGAGTGAAAGTGAGAATGCAAGCTCCCAGGTCTAGGTCTCAAACCTCAGCTGGCCATTTAGAAATCCAGCTCCTTAACCACCATGCCACCTGCTGGTCCCTATTTTGACATTTGGGGATATTATTTATTTTCCCTCCTCCCCTCAGCTTGAACCATTGAAAATGGAATCCCTCATTTCCACTGGCTCTTTTGAGGGATTCCAACTTTTCCAAAATCTGTCATCCTGTTACTAGAATCTCTTTCCTTTCTTTCCCTCACATTTTCCATCAGCTTGCATGTCTTCTTTTCTAAATAGGCCTCTTTGTATCATTATCCATTCACCCTTAGCTCACAAATGACGAAGAAATCCATAACGTGGGAACTTCCTTGACCTTTGGGTTTGGCACGTTGACCTGCTGGATCCAGGCTGCACTGACACTCAAAGTCAACATCAAGAATGAAGGACGGAAAGCTGGAATTCCACGCGTTATTCTGTCAGCATCGATCACTCTCTGTGTGGTCCTCTGTATCCTTTAAGTGAAAAGGTTCTTTTGTCAGTGAGAGTTGAACACAGGTAAGTTGTCTGCGTAGAGGATGACACGGTTGCCATTGCCAGTGGGTTAGGGTAGAATGGTCAGATCCTCCCAGAACCTTAAGGCAAAACAGAAAAGTAAGTGGGTATAAAGATAAAAGTTTTCAGGGACCAGCAGTTAGTGTAATGGCTACGTCGCTGGACTCTCAGCCTGAGAGGAGAATGGAGGAGAAAGGATTGTGGCATGGTCATGCCCCTTGGGGTAATTTCTCTTTTTCTGGCTCTCTCTCTCTCTCTCTCTCTCTCTCTCTCTTCTCTCCAGTGAGTGCACACACCTCATAGCAAAAATCTTTCCCTCTAAAAAAACAAAACAAAACAAAACAAAATAAAAACAACAAAAGAAACCCTTGTATTTAGTCCTAAGCCTCTTGGCCTTTCACTAAGAAATGCTATAAACTTTTCACCCTTCTTCTTGTCAGTTCCTATTTCACACACACTGTTGTGTTCACACACACACACACACACACACACACACTCCACCTATATTCGGATGTATTTATCTCATCTGATTCTTTATTGTTTTTTAAATTGCATATTTTCATTTGGGCACGAGTTCAAATGTGGTACCAGGAATGAAACCAGCCTATACAGTATTGTCTGAAGACAATAGCGAAAATTAGATACAAAAGACTGGAGACCACTTAAACATTATTAGTAGCACTGCAGAGCCAAACACAGGTTATATGCAGGTAATTAGTAATTTTGTATGTCCAGAATTATTTCTCCAGATGAAATAACCACGACTCCCTAGCCATTTTTAGGGATTCTTTTTCCCTTTGCTATAGAGCGCATGTGCTTGCCAGAGAGACAGTGACAGAGGCAAAGTGAGAAACTGTCCCCCTGAGGGGATGGCCATGCTGCCATCCTTTGTCCTCCACTCTTCTCTGGGGATTCTCGGCACGTACACATACACGCCTGGTGTGATTCTCAAAACGCCAGGTCCAGGACTCAAGCCACAAAGCCTGCTATGTGGGATCTAACACCTTAACCTCCACGCCAACTGCTGAGTCCCAGCTCCACTCATTAACACCTGGGTGATCTCAGGGATGTTTCTTACACACTGAGCCTCAGTTTCCCTATTTTTACACAAACGGGTGAAAACAGGATGGGTGGGAGGATCGAGATCACTCGTGAAAGCCCTGGAAGCACATCTTGCACAAAAAGCTCGACAGGGTTATTGTTGTTCCTCACGGAAGTGTTCGTGTTCAGCAAGCTCTGTCACGCTGCCAGGTGTGCCAGTCGGGGGAGAGTCAGACCTTTCCAGTAACGTAGTGTCTGCCGGAAGAGAGTTCCGCTCTCCTGCGGCTGGTGTGAGGGTGCTTTCCTTGACTGCTTCTCCCAGACTTCATCCTCATGGCCCAAGGGATCCACATGTATGCAGCCAGGGTCCAGTGGGGCCTGGTCATGTGCTTCCTGTCATATTTTGGCACTTTTGCCGTGGAGTTCCGGCATTACCGCTACGAGATCGTCTGTTCTGAGTACCAGGAGAATTTCCTAAGCTTCTCCGAAAGCCTGTCAGAAGCATCTGAGTATCAAACCGACCAGGTGTAACCCATCAGTTTTTCCTTGGGGGTGAGGTGGGTGTGACAGTGGGGGAGAGGCCAGGCTGACACACTCACAGGACTCAACACATAACTTCATGACACTTTTTACACACACACACACACACACGTTCATGGCCACGTTTGCCAAACGAGCTTTTCAGGGCGAGTTCTTTCTTTAATGACAAAGCACAAGCCTTTACATGTTGAAATACACGCCATTACACTGAAAATATATGCACGACGGAGCAGAAGCTTGTGCATGCTCACCTCCTGTCCCCCTGCACCCTCGGTACTGTCTGCTCTTCTCGTTCTCTTCCCATGTTCTCAACACCATGATCACCCTGCCGGACAGCAGGGCAAGCCGAACGTACCATGGGGATCATGCCAGCTTCCCAAGTGGCCTTCAGGTCTAAAGGGCTTGGAACTAGCTCAGAGGAAGTTCTGAATCCGACACAGATACTCTTGAATGGATAAGAGAATATCATCTCATTGGATGGCGACTGTGTGGAGATGTGATGCCGTGTCCCCTGTGGGAAGGCATGCACAGAACGTTCCCACAACAGCTCCTGACGCCAGTGGTCAGTGGTCAGCTGTGTGGATCCCGTGAAAGCAGCAGGCTGTCAACTGTGAGAGCGAGCCCACACCGTGGCTTGGCCTTGCTTCCTTATGACCAAGAAAGATGCCCAAATGTGAATATTTGTCGAGACATAGCCTGCTGGGCATGGAACAGGCAGGGGCAATGAGAGTATGATTTGGGTTTTGCTCCCTTAGTATTGCCATGTGCAGTTTTTGTTTTGTTTTGTTTTCTTAAATTTCATAGTTCAACTTTTTTTTTTCTTTATAACTACCATCTCTCTGAGCCTCGTGAAGATGTTGACCATAATGCAAGGAGTGAGCTTGCTTCCAGTCAATCATGACAAAAGGAGGGGGAAAACAAAGTCAACTGCCCACTTATTTTGCTGCTTTTAGGTTGAAAGGTAGGGAACTATTCACAGGAAAGCGCAAAGAAATGGGAATATGTGAAGGTAGTCAAAGGCTCCTGCCAGACATTTATTAAAAAAAGGAGTTTGGGGGACCAGCAGTTAGCGTAATGGCTATGTCGCTGGACTCCCATGTAGTCGACCGCGGTTCGCGTCCTGGACCCGGTGGCTTAAAACGCACACCAGGCAAATGTGCATGCGTGCCCAAGATCCCGAGAGGAGAATGGAGGAGAAGGATTGCGGTGTGGTCATCCCCCCTGGGGGGTGATTTCTCGCTTTCTGTCTCTCTTTCTGGTGAGCGCACGCACCCTATAGCGAAAACCTCTCCAAAAAATGAAAAAAAAAAAAAAAAAGGAGTTTGGGTGCGTCTTGTTGCAAGACCAAATCAGGAGGCTTTCTTGACATGTATCCATTGCTCAAATTGTGTGTGTGTGTGTGTGTGTGTGTGTGTGTGTGTGTGTGTGTGTTTTGTTTTGTTTTGTTTTTGATTAAGGGCTTTTCAAACTTGAAATTGGTAGAAGCCAGTTAAAAGATTACCCTCCCCTAAAACTGACATGGCACTGCTGGCCTGGTCCCTGGGTGCCCAGCCCCCTTCCCACCTGTGAAGAGTAAAGAACTCAAACTGCAGGGGGTGGGCTCTGCTCCACAGGGAGGGCGGATTCCAGATTCCAAATGCGATGAGCTCACAGACCCTCCTCCAGTGCACTTTGTTTCAAGAAATCCCCAGATTTACTTTACAGGGGCCTGGGATTTCATGGAAAATGTGAAAACCATTGTGTTTTTGTTTGTTTGTTTGTTTTAAAATACAACCCAAAGTCTGAGCATCTTAATGGAGAAGCAACATCTTTTCATCTCTGGATTTATCCACACCTCCTAGCACAGTGCCTGGCACATACTAGGTGCTCAACAAATGTCTGTCGAACAGAATTGATAGTTTAAGGGCAGGAAACAGACTTTGAGAGAGGCTCAGAGGTGAGAGGAGAGAATGGCTGTTTCAGGGGAGGTAGGAACGGAAGAACCTTGAGTGAAGGTCGGATGGGAGAATGACCATACCTATGAGGTGTAAATGAAATGTGAGGAAAGACTCATGGCGAGCGCGCTCTTACTGAAAAGGCATTTTACTGTAAATAGTCCAAGGTGACCGTTACTCGTTTTGAATACCGACTTTGGGTTTCTTTTTTTTTTTTTCATTTTTATATTTTAAAAATTTTATCAAAGAACCAAGATTTATGATGTTTTCTTTCACTCGACACAATCCAAACTAAACAGCTTTTGGTGATGCACTTCTACACTTTCTTAAGAATATCTCTAATAGCACATTTTAGCAGAATCAAGCAATGACTGGCATTATTCATGGGGATCTAGCCACTAAATAAAATTCTTTTATGCAGAATTGTGATTTCTTTGTCTTATGCTGACATTTCTTCTCTAATCCCGAAGCTGGTTTGTTGAAAATGAACTTCAGTGTGACATGGATAGGGTCTTTTCCGACACCTACAACCGACTCTCTGATCCAGCTGGGGGCCTACAATTTCATTCCGAATGAACTTGCCAAGAGTTAGCAGAAGCCACAGGTTTCAGGGCTCGGTCCCACACGCTGCCCTCACTTTAGATACTGGTTCCAAGTCCACAGGTCACTCTCTTTTGTCCAACTTGGCTACAAAGTCGGAAGGGAAAAGTTCCCAGAGTCCCCCTCCAGCTTGAGTGATTTGCTAGAACAGCCCACAAAGCTCAGGAAAACACATTGGCTGGTTTATTATAGAGGATTCAGCTCAGTGGGGGAAATGCAGAGGGCAAGGGACAGGCAGTGGCCTGGAGCTCCCATCCCCTCTTGGGGTGCACCATTCGCCACACTCCAAGGTGTGCAGCAACCTGGGAGCCCTCAAACCTCATTGTTCAAGGATCTATTCTGGGGCAGGCTCTGTGCTGCAGCTCAAAAGAAGAAAGAAGCCAGGTCCCGTATGGTGACCGTGGTTCAGATCTGGCCCGTCCCCCTAAAACATGCCCTGCACGTGCATAAGTGCCCACAATCCGACATGGGGGACTGGAGGAAGGAGACCACAGTCTTCCCACCAAAGGACCACCCATCGTTACTTGCAGTGAGCCTCAAAGTAATCATTAGCTCTTCTCTTTCTCTCACACCCCACTTCTGACAGCAAATCCTGTCCACCTTTACAGTATATGAATTCAGGACCAGCAGGTGGCGTGGTGGTTAAGGGCTCTGGACTCCCCAAGGGCCGACTGTGGTTCAAGTCCCAGACCTGGCAGCTTGCTTTCTTACTTTCTCTCTCTTTCCCCCTCTGTTCAAATTTAAAAAGCAAATAAATAAGTAAAGATAAATAATTCTTTTTAAAAAATAAGTACATGAATTCATCCACTGCCACCATCTGGTCTAAGTCACTACTGCCGCTCTTGGCTTTTATAATGACCTACAAAACTTGGTCTCAGCTTTCATCGTTTGCTCCCTTCAGCCTGTCCCCAAGACAAGAAAAAAAAAAAAAAAGATCTTGTTAAAAGCTAAATTAGATCATTATGGCTCTGTTGCCTAAAATCCTTCAGTGACTCCCCTTGTACTCAGACTAAAAATCTGAAGCACTATGGGAACCAGCAGTTAGCGTAATGGCTATGTCGCTGGACTCCCACGTAGTCGACCGCGGTTCGTGTCCCGGACCCGGTGGCTTAAAATTCACGCCGGGCGCGTGTGCATGCGTGCCCAAGATCCCGAGAGGAGAATGGAGGAGAAGGAATTGCGGCGTGACCATCCCCCCTGGGGGGTGATTTCTTCCTTTCTGTCTCTCTGTCTCTGTCTGTCTGTCTGGCGAGCGCACGCACCCTATAGCAAAAATCTCTCCAAAAAAAAAAAAAAAAAATCCGAAGCACTAGAATGCCCTAGAAGGCCCCAGATCTGCTTTTATGCTTTTCCTTCACTCTGTCCAGTCCCTGTGCTTCCTTCTGTCCTCCAACAGTCAGGCATGCTCTGGCCCAAGGCCTTTTGCACGTGTTGTAATCTCCACCCTGAACAATCTTCCCCATTTAAGTCTCTTCACCTACTCGAATGTTACATTCTCACGGAGTCCCCTGAACTCTAAAACTCAACCTTCCCCGTCCACCCTAGCACAGTCTATTCCCCTTTCCAGCTTTATTTTTGCTCTATAGTATTTTCCTTCTTTTTAGAGATTTTTGCTATAGGGTATGTGCACTTGCCAGAGAGATGGACAAAGGCGAGAAATCACCCTCCCGGGGGGACAGCCATGCCACAATCCCTTCTCCAGTCTCCTCTTGGGATTTTTGGGTGTGCACTCACATGTGCCTGGTTATGAGTCTTGAGCCTGGGTCTAGGACTCAAACCGTGGTGCCCATGTGGGAATCCGGTGATGTAACCATTATACCATCTGCTGGTCCCACTCTATAGTATTTTTCAAACATGGCCTGTGAGGTCAGTTAAAATTCTAACGTGTAACACTGACGTATTTCACTTATCTGACTATCCCTAATAGGCAACCTTCATAAGGACAGGATTTTTGTCTGCCATATACCCGGCACATCGTTAAAGACTTAATAAATACTTTGTTGTTTTCACCATAGGGCACACGCACTAGCTGGACAGAGACGGACGGTGACAGTGACAGTGAAAGGGAAAGTAAGAAATCGCCCTGGGGTTAGCTACGCCACAATCCCTTCTCCCTCATTCTTCTGGGATTCCGGGCATGCAGGAACAAGAGTGGTGTGATTTTTCAAGTTCCCAGGTGTGAGACTCAAACCATAGCGATTCATGTGGGAGTCCAGTACCTTACCACCATACCTGCTGGCCCCTAAGAAATACTTCTGAAATGTATGAACGGGAACTCACACACACTTTCTTTTTGTTTAGATTTACTGTCAGATATGAGCTGCTCCATGTTCAAAGCATTTAGAAAACAACACTAATGTGACCAGGTTTCAGAGGATACAAAGGTTCTCCCACTTATCCTCATAAACTGCTCTCTGTGTCTTGAGAAGGAAATCCTAGATTATAAGTTATTTCTTATGATGGCCACAGTAACTAGTACATGTCAGATACTGAAGTTCTAACTAGGACCTGAAATATCCTTATGCAAACGCCATCAGTACCTGATTTCCTTTCACGTAGCTTCAAGATGGAACACTGAGAATAACTGGGTCCTTAACTGAGGAATATTATTTTGTGTCTTTTTATTTTTTAGAGATTTTTGTTACAGGGTACATGTGCGCACCAGAGAAACACAAAGGGAGAAAGGACCTCCCTCCCGGGGGGAATGGTCACACTGCAATCCCTTCACCTCCATTCTCCTTTCAGGATTCTGGGCACGTACACATGTGCCCAGTGTGAGGTTTAAGTTGCTGGGTCTGGGACTCCACCCTGGTTGACATGGGAGTCCAGTGACATAACCACTACGCCACCTGCTGGCCCCTATATTTCATGGTGGTTTTTTTTTAAGTTTTTTTTTTTTTTTTTTTTTTGCTACAGGCTTGTATGCTCGCCAGAGACAGACAGAAGCCAGAAATCACTCCCCCAAGCTGGATGGCTATGCCACAATCCCTTTTCCTCCAGTCTCCTATTGGGAATTTGGGCTTGCATGCATGTGCGCCTGGTGTGAGTTTTAAGTCACCAGGTCTGGGACTCCAACCATGGTC